CACAAAAGCTTTGATTCAAATTTTATCTGGATCTTTCTCATGAAAAAAGTTTCAGATGATAATGCCTTTCATCAATATATATTTTAATAGATATAATATATAAATAATTGAGACCAAGAAGACAAACTGAATTTATTTGTGGTCTAAAACCCGATTTTCTATCAATCAGGCATACTATATTTCCTCTTATATGTTGGCTTACCTAGTCATTAATCTAACTATGAAGGCTTTACAAATACATTTTGAAAATCTAAATTTATATTGAAAATCTACATTTTGAAAATCTAATTATAATACTGATTTATCTATCACACCAGTAACACTGGACCCTCAGAGTATACCAGATTAATTGTGACTTCCATTATATATATTTGTATTGGCTGTATGACAAAGGAGTCATATCATACATTTCTAATTAATATTCTACTACATGTTTAAAACCAGCTCACCACACTTTCCCACCACGGTGATAATCTTATCATCTTACAGCTTCCTTAGAATATTTTTCCTAATAATATTAAAGATAATGGGGGGAAAAACAGTTGCCCTGATATCCCCATATTAAGTAGTCCTTATCTAGTGATATATATATATATCTATTTTTAATGTTGTACATGTATTCTATCTTGTGTGGGATTTTCACCTTTCTTCCACTGTACACATGAGGATTTTATCCCCTCGCTCACCCTGAAGCGGGTCAGGCAATTTTGGCTGCCACATCTGTGGATGTTTGTTGTCAGAACAAACTTCACTTCGTTGCTTCACCTATTGTAGCAGGTCCGTAACTGAGTCTAATTGGAAATTCATCAGTATAAATTGTGAGAGATTGTAACACAAGTTGCATAGCCATAAGTGTCTTTTCTGGAAATGCAAAGATGTAAGATCTAAAATGCTTTACTGGCTCAGCACCAAAAAAATCTTTCCAACCTGAATTTCAAAATCAGAATGAACTATAATGACAAAGTATTAGTTTTGTGCTCTGAAAACATTCAGATCCCAATACAAATGGCACAAGGCAGATACAGAAACTGCACACTCTGTCCAACATGCAAACAAAATACTGCACTTCTTCAGTATATAAAGTCTTCCGTTTTAAAAACAGAAGATCAAAGGATGGTGTAATTTGTACTTAAAACAATATCTAAAAGCAGCTCAAGTCTATCAATGGAAATCTAACTTTCTCGTCTTCATTAGCAGAGCAAATTTTACTTGTGGTATACTGGAGAATGTGGCTTTGCTATACTACCAGCATTGCCAGAAAGAACATTTTAGTAAGGTTTTTAGTCTTTGAAGGCATTGTCTTTGTCTAATTTTCCCTTGTTCCTGACCACAGAAAAGCTGGAAACACGAGGCTGTGACAGCAGAGTGCTTGTGGAAGACTATGACACACATGTATTTGCTCTTCTATCTAATGACTTGGGAGAAGAGTATGGGAAGAGAAAAGAGAATTGAGCTAGGAACAGGAATCACTGACAGAATTGCCTAAGGGCTTTCAAAGCCTGTGAAAAATCAAGCCCAGGAGTACATGTCATACTACCCGAACACTGCACGAATAAGCTGCTGTCTTTTCCCACTTGGCATGGAGATGGATGTGGGCCATGACAAGAAAACAGTGAGAAAACGCAAGACTACAGTAATTCCCTGGACTGTCTGTCCTTCTTTTATCCATCACCAGGAGAAGGAAGCAGTAGTAAAAAGCAGACAGCTTGACTTTTAGGCACAATACCTATTTCTTCTTCAACTAGCTCTCCCAACAGGGACTGCACAGGCAACCACGTCACTTCTGAAGTATATACCATAAAATGAAAATAAGTGACAGCTGTGAAAACTAATCGCCACATCCTGAGATCCCTAAATCATATTAACATTGATTTCTGAAAGCACGAGGATACATATACCTCATATATACACACAACCACTCTTTTGTAGGCTGCTACAATACAGGTGGAGTTTTAGAATAATCTATCTCAGAATTTAAAAGACTTGCATTGGAACTGCATTGGACTTGCATTGTTAAATATCTGGTAGCAATGCAGACTACGCATTATTTTACAGGCTTCCCATATTAACAATGGCTATTTTGGGAGGTAAATGATTACTTTAAATAAACGTGTTTCTAACCTAACACTAAAGCTGTGATTCAGATGATCAAGTAGCAATTTTCCAAATGAGAATTTGTTATGAGCTTGATTTCATTATTAGGTTTACATCGTCTTTAAGTAAACAGAATAATAAGGAGGGCAAGCACGCATTAAAATGCCATAATCAAACCTGTAATTTCCTCTTCCACTGCTGGAATGAAGAAAGTTGAGAGGAAGCTATCTCATGTCTCTGCTCTGAAACATCTCGAATAAGCACTTTTGCCAGCAGGTTAGTAAAAGCTTTATGAGGTCTATGATTCAAAGTTTTTTTTAATTCAAAGCAGTAGTTACAAAAGTTCCTTGCCACTGTACAATTTGAACCTGCCATGATCACACATGCAATTTCGCTGTTGGAGAGGATCTGAGCTGAATAACATGGAAGCTCCATAACACACAAAAGAACCACTTCCCATTATATTGTAAAACTGAACCCCAGAATAATTAAAACTTAAGAATAGACTTGTTATAATGTTATAGTAGGTATGAAACAAAGCTAAGTTATCCATGCATAGTGCATCTAAATGTACACAGGCATTTACTGCAAATGCTCATGCATATTTATCATACGAACATATGAGTTGGTACATGCAAAAGAACATGCAGAATTAGGTTTTTCCTTCCTTCCTTTTCCTTCCAGTTTTTCTTTCTTCTACTACTCAGACCTAAACATGTTTCTGCTTATTTAATAGATAAGCCATTCTTAGACATACCTCAACACTGGTGAAAGATGGAAGTTTTGAGTGACACAATCTACCTTTTACCTTTATTACAGCTAGTTTAATACAAAATCTGCCAGCTACAGAAAAAAAAAAAAAACCACTTCAATTAAGCTATTTTTCAAACACAACATATAGATAGGCCTTTCCATTTCTATGCTGTTCTTCATTTTTATAACTATGATACAACATCATGCTGAGCTAAAACAGACCTCAGGAAAGATTCTCAGAAGTACCTACAGGTTCCCCTGACTTTAAATAGGTGTACATTCTTGGATAACAAGCACTTTTGAAAATATTCTCTTCCAACTTTCTTTTGACTACAATCCTTACCTTAAACAGATTCTGGGAAATTATATCCCAGCATTTCCAAGCTTTATCTAACACTGACTTTTCTTTAAAATGAAACGTGACAGGATTTCACATCAATCCTTTCGTATCTTCACTTTAAAAATTAAGAGAAGGAAGTTTCAGAAGGCCACACTTCACTTCCAGGGATATTTCTGCAAACTTATCATGGATTTTGCTCTGAACCAGAGTGAGCTCTCTGGAGGTTCCCAAAATCTCCTGCAAAGCCAGGAGGAGGAGATGGGGATCACCTCATGGAGCAAGATGCTAAAAGGCATTTTCCTGCTTCACAGAAGTTTCAAATGACTCCAAAAGGTAAAGCATATTTTTTTTTCATCATTATTATATTGGTAAAGTTTATAATCACCGATAACACTCAATTATTCTTTTACTTTTACCATTTGTTAGTACAGCATGGGTGTAACAATTCTGGGAAAAACACCACTTACGACCTGGCAATGATTTTTGCACTTTGATCTCCAACTCAAAATTAATGATCACAGTTTGTTTTGTTTTAAAACAAACAACAACAACAAAAAGTCTTAGCAGAAGATTGCACTTATACTGCTTTGATAAATTTTCAGATATATTAAATGTACAGAAAAACATTATTTAAAGTATCTGCAAAAAAGTTAAGATTGTAAGAAGAAAGCAACAGCGCTCCTGATGACTAGGCACCTGATGTGAGCCATGGCTTTGCAAGGCAATTTTTTATATTCTCTTCAACAACCCAAAACTTGCCTTGAAAACTGTGAGCATCCAGCTTTTCTGGCATGTGGAAGAAGTTGTTTGGTTCCCATTTTTAAATTAAGATTGCACTATACCAGCCAGATTTTTTTTCATGCATTACAAAGTAAGAGAGTATAGACAATCTTTAAATTCCATTTAAAGACTTCTTTCTTTACTTACTGAAGTCAGAAAAAAAAAATCATGTTGGTCCACAACGCAAGACTGCCTTTACAGAAATAAAGAACCTGGGAAGACTGAATGCCGTTAATTCCACCCAACTTAACAGTGCTGGTTCTTATGATTTGAAAATGATCACTGCAGAATGTTTTCTGAGGGTAAGAGTGTAATTGGTTATAGATCAATAAGTAATTTCTTTCAAGAGGAACTATTCTAGTTCTGAAAGTAGCAAGATTTTTAAATCAAAACCAAGCTAGTACATTAACAAAGTTGAGATTAATCTAAACAACAGATTTTTATACTGCCCTAGTTAGGTTTATCTCAACTGATCATTTATTTATGCTGCCATAAAAATCCAGAGGCTTTCAGTTTTGATCATTAGTTATTTGCTTTAAGGCAACTGAAATTACTTTTTTAGACTTCTCAGCATGACAACCTTGCTTTCTGCTTCAAATTTATCATCACACAGCAATGGTGAAATCACAGGATAACTTCTAGTATTAAAAAGGAGCACAGTCAATTGCGGTACAATGAAATTCCCCCAACAGGCTCCAGATTAAATCCTCCAGAATTAAGGCACAGTGTCCTCCGACATTGCTAAATCCCACTTTATGTAATTAGATTGCAGTAAACTGTTATACCTGTAAAGGTACTACAATGTGACTTTTAATTGAAAAGCCACATAAGGTAGCACCATATCAAGTAAGAGGCATTTTGAGAATGGCTGAAAACTTGTAGAGCATTGTATGCTATAGCCATTATCATGTAATTCACTCTTGACCCTAAAAGATTAATCAACAAACTGCTGTACTTAGATTAAAAACAAAACGAATGCCACAAGTACCATCGAGACATAAAGAAATAGCATGCATTTTTTTGAAGTACTTACAATATGCAGCTCTAAGTAATCTCCGAGCCCAGTAGAACTGTCCACTCGCACCAACACAGCTTCTTTTTGAACAGTACTAAACCCTATTGCCAGTCTGTCTGCACGAGTGCTTGGCCGATCATTAGGAGGCCACGTGTAAGTGATTTGTCCACCACCTTTGCTAAAGATATATGTTGTTCCCGCTGTAAAAGAGAAATAAAGAGAATTAGTGCCTTGTACCAGTGTAAACCAATATGCAAAGTATGCACTCTACAAAATCAAGATATTTTCTTTTAACAGATGATTCAAAAAAAAACAAGACAAGGCTTTACTTCAATATTAAGGAGGTTTTAGTTCTTAAAAATCAGCAGTAAACTAAATATTACTGCTTTTTATGTAATGCAGTCAATACTGTATAATTTATTTGAATGTACAACTACTTAAAATACCATGGCTCTGATTCAGAAACACATCTCTATTCAAGAGAGTTCTTAAACATATGCTTAAAGTTAAGTCCAGTGCTTTTCAAACTAAATCAAGGAATTCCAGTAATCCCATGACTGGCCACAAATGCAGCTGCACATATCAACCCAGCTTATACAATAAAAATACCACACACTATATGATGCATCATCATACCCAGCAAAGCAAGACATTAATAAATATATTCATGTACAACTTACAAAGGCCTAAGGTTTATCAGTTTATTACAGACAGGAGTAACAAATGGCAGGGTAGAATCACGCTTTTCTTGCCATGCCAGGACAAAAAGATCTAGCAGCTAAATAAGCAAGACCTTATTTGCCATTAATACTAATGTGCAAATTACAAGAGTAAAATCTTTGCATATTAATTTCAAAATCTGCAAAACATGCTTTTGATCATTTATTTATAAGGCTGTCCACTTCTATAAAGCAGAGTAAAAACTTAGGGAAAGAGATTACAGCATGGTAAATATGGATGGCTAGTTATACAAGGTGTTCCAGGCTGGCTCAACTTATGGATATGCACAAATTTACTATATGTAACTCAGTTTATTTCACCAAATACTCTCACTACATACTTTCCATGGCCACACAAGGACTACATGCATCACACCATAAGAAAAGTTGCAATTTTCTTCCTTTCTTACTGACGAAAAATTATGTGAGCATACAAAAGGTTTTAAAACCCAAAGAGATGTAGATTTTTTTGAGAACAAGTACTGCATAGTTGCATCACTCCTTCAGTTCCCATGTCTCAAAATCCTACTCTACTGTGGAGATTGCTTTGAATCTTTCTCAAAATAAAAAGGTTACTGGTCCTTTTGAAAAGATACCCTTTATTTATTTCTATTGTCATTTTTCTTTATGGAATTACCCATCTACTCATTCTTTTTTTTTTCCCAATACCATCAATTTTAAAATACTTTACATATGGTGCAGAGTACTTACAACTATAAAGCTCATTTTTAATCAACAGTATAATTGCACTGTGCTTCAAATAAACCCCTTGGGTTCTCTCTTGATATGGCAAAATGCCAACCTGCATGTGGGGTAGGAAAACTTGTCTGCCTTTTTTTTTTTTTTTAAACCAAAGACAAATACAGCAACAGCTCTGATATCTAAGATTCCCATTACACACAAGGAGTTTATCATCACTATAAGGAGTTATACAAGCGTAGTGAGGCTAGGGACTGTGCTATACAATGGTTTGGTTATAGGCAAAGAATGTACAGTTGTGGGATCTATGCGATAAAAAACGTACCTACCTCCCTCTCTCCCATCCCATCCCAATTTTTCCATACACAGCACTAAGAAAACCACTTTGTTCCAGTGCATGCTATTAAGCAAGGATGGCTGAATCTCCAAGGCTAGTGGACTGCAGCACAAAGACAAGACAGCAGTATCACTCCAGATGGATGGTCCTTGAGTTTCTGTCTTTGCTACCTAGCACAGGTTTAAAAGTTTGAGCCAAAGACGGAGGGAACAGACTTTGAACAGTGACACATTACAAACCTTCACAAAAGGGTTTTCTGTATGTTCCCGAAAAACTGAGGGCTTGATCATTCAAATTAGTGACAGTCTTTTTCCTGACTTCATAAAATACCATTTGAGGTCATAAATGAGGTTTTGGTAAGTAATAAATATGGGAAGGCTAGAAAAAAAAAACTCTGTACACTTCAATGTCACACATGATTCTGCTAAAACAGCATAAAAGATTTAAGTGGGAGGACATAATTTTCCTTTTCTTGGTTGTAGCAGATGTGTTTACTGAATAAAGAAGGCAAAGAAAAAGCCTGTCAAGTGGTGGTGTAGTTATATTAAATGTAATGACCCCAAAACAAGTCTCCAGATCTGAATAATTCTGTTGATGTACTTAGGCAATGGTAATATTGGCCAGTTTTTGGCCAAGTCCTGCCCATCAAATAAACAGATGAGGAACAATTCATGCCATGCTATTGCTGCACTTATGCCAAGGTCAACACTAGCAGAGCTGGATAAATCTTGCTGCAGATCTTAAACAACTTGGAATCAACATTAACATTTTTTTAAAAATCCTATCTTTTATCTAAAACAACATGTGGTTTATGTTTTCTTAGGTCAAAGCTTCTCCTTCTTCATCTAAAACAACATGTGGTTTATGTTTTCTTAGGTCAAAGCTTCTCCTTCTTCATCTAAAACAACATGTGGTTTATGTTTTCTTAGGTCAAAGCTTCTCCTTCTTCATAACTGCCTGTTTTGTAGCTCTCCCTACTAGCTGAGTGCCTGATAACAGGCTAATTAATCTGTGTTGATGAATACAGCTCTGCCTTTGTCTAAGCAACTCAGGCAGTCATGTTCTTTGAATTTCCTGTATTAATTATGAAAAAGTGGGTCGGAAGCCATTTGAGAATAGGTCCTCTAGTGTTTATATTTCAAGAAAGACAAATATAATAATGCAAAATTTATTACTCTGGGACTGATCTCAGCTTACAGGCCAACCTCCCATTAACTATTAAAGGCTAGAAACTTAGGAATTGTTCAAAAACATCCTGCTTACTATCAGTTTCAGATCGGTTAAGAAAGAACAGAGGAAACCTAATTCACTTGCTCCAGAAAGTCTTTTATGCTCTCTGACAAACCTTATAATGCCTCTGCCATTCTTTCACAACATCGCCACTGAAAACCAGTCATCTTTTCTTTTTTCGCTTATGGCACTGTGTTGTTTGGGATTTATCATCTCAAGAGAATTGAAAGCAGCAGAATTAGAATGTCAAGAATAGCAATGCCATCAGCACAGCACTTCTAAGTTTGTAACAAGCCAGTTATACTCTCAGCTCCAGAATTTACTGCATAGTTCTTTATGTGTCCATGCCTCTGTACAATGTTTAGGAAAAACGTCCATGCAGCTCCTTGAAATTCTTCGCTGTGAAAGCATAGCTCCTATTGTAACAAACTGCCAGTGGTCAAGATGCAGTAATGGTTTTTAATGGCCTGGGTCTCTCAAGCCCTACTTGTTTGCAAAATTCATCTTTATGAAATAGTATATTCATTTCAGCATAGCCTGGCAGCAACTCAAGGACATCTGCTTACCTATATACTGAAGAGATGAATATTTTGTTTAGCGCCCATTTCCTGTATCTATTATTGAAGCTTTTCTATGTTTATTGCTCTGAAGTCCAATCTGATGGGAGTTCAACAGTTTGCTCAAATCAAGCAACAAAGCCACAGCTTTCTACTGTCCTCATATTCATCCAAATTTTGTGTTCAAGATATATTACATGTAAGGGTAATGTGTCTAATTCCATTTTCCATTATAACACTAGCAACAATGTTTATTTTCAGCAAGAAAATGGTAGGTTTCAAATGGTGATGAAGCGAAAGTGATGGTTTTATTGAGCTCTAGAGCCCAATGAGCTATGATTCCACCAGATTATTGCTGGAAACCTAATGACTGAAGTGTTTAAATTTCAACATTGAGCACTATTAGCTGCCCTTTCATTAACACTATAACTATTTTTAGCTATTATAAAAATGCACTACTGGCTCTAACAAGAATTATCCAATAATGTAATTTTCTTTCTTTTCTATGGTACCAGTACTTCACTCATTTTGGGAGAGATTGTGAACCCTCTTATTCCCACAGGTAAGTAATTACTTGCATTAATAAACCTGCTGAATCCAGTGAGACTATTTGTGCCATCACTGTTAATAACCAAGAGTGAAGTGTTCACAATATAAATCACCATATACACAAACATCTGTATGAAAGTATTTTAATCACACTTCCTGTATTCAGGGACCATAAGAATCTCCATTTAATAATTCTTTTTACTCTTTCATCTTCATATTTTCATCCTGCACTTAGCTGAGATTTCAGAAAAATACACAGAATTTTCCATACATAGATTTGTACACATTTTTTGATGTAAGTAGAGAAGCGAATGCTTGAGGTCTGAAACATGACCTTGCTGGGGGTGGGGGTGAGGAGATGTTTAAAAATTAACAGTTTGGTAGATTAAAAAACAACCCTTTACTGTGTTTCTTCTTAGACTCTGATTTAAGTGTTATTAATTATTTAAACAGATCAGAAAATATATGCCACAGGATTGAGATGAGAAGGGCATAGTCATTAAGATTAACCATGGAAAGAAGATGGCAAGAGCTGCTGAAAGAATTATTTCAACCTAAAGATTGGACACAACTGAACACTTACCAATGACATCCTGGTATAATCTCTCCCCACTGACCTGTGCAGGAGTATGAACATGGATTGCAACTGTTGCACTTAAATAATTACATCAAGCTTGTCAAAGAACAATTTACTTGAGAACAAGAGAGGTTTATGGGATGCGGAAGAAGTTTTTCAAAGGGATCATTGCCAGTAACTCTCCAAAAAGCTTGGACATTCTGGGGGTGAAGGGAGCTGTTGTGCTTAAGGGAGGACTGTGGACCGCTATTACGGATTTGTGAATAAGAATGGAGAAACAGTGTCTCCCTCCCAGGCAGGCCTCCTCAGCCATCCTGCTGCATCCAGATGGGTCTTGACCTGATAAAACCTGTTGTTGGGTCTGGTTATGAATAGCCTATTAAATGAGCTCTGCTACAGACAGACATTGTTGAAAAAAAAGACAACTGAAAATGCCAACCTATCTTCACCTTTCTGTGGGACCCACATTTCAGTGTGCCAGAACTAAGTTCTAGAATTCCATTTTTCTGCCAATCTGCAATTTTTTCATAGAAGACACTGCTTGAAATACCTTTTTCTTCTTCATTCTTTTCTTTATTTTTAGTAAGAATTTTAGCAAGTCTGAGGCCATGTCATGTTTACAGTGGCTGCTGCAAGCTGAATCTCCAAACTTCCAATACTGCAGGCTGCTATAGCCTCTATGTTAACACTGCACTGGCTGCAACCTAGAATTGGAGTCTAATCCATAGTACGGGACATGACTTAAAAGTTATGGTTGAGAAGCTGGTTTTTACCCATACGGTAACCATGTGAATATGAGCTCAGTTAGCTCAATCTCTAGCCATGCAGTAATTCACCAAAATGAGTTAAGAAAGCAGTATCACTAACACGTACAAGACATTGAAACAGAAGAGCCCTCAGTACATTGTTGCTGTCAGCTGCTTCTTGCAGTTTGTATGTCAAGAAGTCAATATCACTATGAAAAGGGTAAAGACAAGATCCAGCCTTCTCCCCTTGAGAAAGGGAAACCATGCCGTACAACCACCATTAATGCCAACGCAGCTTTCCAGTGTATTATATTGGGTTCTACCCAAACCACTCCAGACCTGGTCTTTTATTTTTTTCTTCTTTTTTTTTTTTTTCAATACACTAAATTCATGTTTGATAGAGATCTATACAAAAAAAAAGTGCTGTGCAGAGTTCAGCCATCTTCCCCAAGAGCTGTCTCAAAATAAAGGTTTGGGCAAAAACAGAATAACGCAGTCTGAAGTCAAGCTGAGCATCCTGGCCTTTGCAGTGACATCTTCTACAGATTCAAGCCAGCAACAGAAGAAAAGTTTCTACCTCAGACCACTACAGTTGCTACAGGTAACTTAAACAGCTCAGCACTATGTCTTTTCCTTCCTTCCTCCCTCGACCAACTGGCCAAACAAAAAACCAAAACAAGAATAACCCCCCCTTTTTTACTCCTCCTTTCATCCAGTCTATCACTATCAGATTAGGAGGGTATCATCGTCTGCAAAATCCTTTGTAGGTGACACAACAGTATTCTCACCTGTCTATGAGGACCCCGAGGGTCTTCCACAATTTGACTTTCTGATAACAGGCTCTTGACCCAAAGGAGCGCTCAATATGCCACTGGCCATAGGCTTAACTAACAAAAATGCATCTCCGCCTTTGGCTTCAGGCACTTGGACTGAAATGTGGCCTTATTCAAATTAAAACTCTTATTTGAGTCAAGGCATTAAAAGGTTTTCCACTCTACACTACCAAAGGCCACTGAAGCATTAAGGACTGAAATCTCAATTCCTTTATCACTGCATCAGTAAGAGGCATTATATGAAGTCATCAGTACTGATTATTGCCAAGTTGGTTCTAGGGCCTCAGCCTTCAAACATCAAACAAATTAGTGAAGAGACTCTTCAGGCCAGCTGCAGTGCAGGGAGGGGAAAAAGAGATTACAAGTGGAGACCTTGAATTTGCTGAGAACTTAACAGAATGGTTCACCATTAAATAAGTCATGTCATAGCTCTCTCAGCTCAAATATATGTCACTAACACAAGACAGAACTGCTTTGTCCAGGCAGGAAAATGTCAGATTTATTTAAGACCCTCTAAACATGAAAGCTGCTATACACACACTCCTTGTTTGTATCTTTGTTGTTTATATCCCATCATTTATACTGTATACTGCTTGCCATAAGAAAGTGCGAGAAAATTTACCCCACTGCAGTTCCAATTGCTGTTAGAATTTTAATTTCTCAGTCTCACATGTGAAGTTCCTATTTTTATTACATTTTTCTATGAGAAGAAGCTTACGCAATTGCAACACACATCCACTGTCCATGCTCAACCCCCAGTAACTTTTCAATCCAGGTTCAGCCAAATTTGAAAGAGAATGAGGTAGAAATTTCAAACACAGCAAACTCTTAGCAGTTGAATGAAAAGGCAGTGATTGGGTAAAGCAGAAATCTGCAGAGCTCAATTACTGTGCTTTCTGTATGGCAACAGTCTGCAGGGCATTTGACAGCTACTTATGGGTGAGGCAGCCAATGCACTCAATGTGCTTTGTTAGCCCAAAAGCCACCAAGAGCACTGGGAGGAAGAGAAGACAGAAACTGTAGTTACTGCATGGAAACATTTGAGAAACAAGGCACCACTCCATAAAAAAATATATTTTTATTCATTTTATATTCATTAGTTTTGCTATTCTTGGAACAATTTTTTCCCATACAAAGCCAAAATATATCATGTGTGTGGCCTATCTGTAATGAATACATATAGCTGTATTGCTTTCAGTAGTGTTACTAAGAACTAAACATATTGGGGTTAAAAAGAACAAAAACTAGTGAGTAGGGATGACACAAAAGATGTGCATACCCATACAGAATTAACCAGCTTAACAGCGGTATTGCAAGACAGTATCATTCATACCATTATAAACAATATCAATGGTTAAAAATCAATTCTTCAAAGGGGAAAAATGATTTTCCAACTGGAATGAGATTCTAATATCTTCATTTAAATCAAGCAGCATTTTACAGGACCTTGAAGGACCCCATTGATTTAGACTGGAGTATAGTACTACTCAGTTTGAGTAGGTATATCTATCTAAGAACTTTCAATGGTGTTTGAAATGAATGTAATTTTGTAGAGACCTTGGCTAAGCAACAGCTAGACTGCTAAAATAATGTAGAAATTGGAGTATCTGTTCATCTGACTATTAAGAAAATATGAGTCAATTTAGAAAATGCCAATAGAATTGATAATATTCAGGCACTGGTTCTATAAAATCATTGTGATCATCTTTGAAATGTCCACAATAAAATGTTCTGGGTTTGTTTTAGCCTCATTATCATATTCATTTAGACAAAAGCTATGACTTCCTTTCTAAAAGGATATAGCCTTTTTAAAGCAATTCTGATAGATACTTTTAAAAAAAAACATTATTGCTCATCTCCAGTATTTCCCAGTTCAAAAATTTTACTTGCTGCCTATTACCTAATACTTTTTCAACATGGATAACTGTTTAAAATGAATTTAAAACATTTCTGTATGAAATGTAAGACAAGTAATTCCTCATTATTGGCTGGCACCTTTATGTAATGTGGATGGTTAGAAAATGATATATTTCTGAAATGAAAAACCACTTTAAATGTCATATTGCAGCCAACATGAAACATTTTAATACATTATAACACTATTAAAGGTAACAAGGATATGTGTCTGTCTCCGAAATTTTTCCAAAAAGTCAGATGGAAACTAAAAGTCTAATGTCTATAAATAAGGGAAGGTTTTATTTCTCCTACAAGCTTGCCAACATATAGTTAAAGATAAATTTCTTGAATAGTATCTAGAGAAGTGGAAATTGCTTTTGGGGAAACACATGTGAGAAAATCATGAGATGAAATGTATTTTAGGAGAGATATAGAGTAAAGGCAGTATCAAACTCAAGAACGAAACTAGTAAACTCGAGTGCTCTGAAAGACAACAGGGCTGTTTTGGCCCTCACATTTCTGAAATTAGGAAGTGTCAAGGCCTAATATTGCAATTTAACCACTGTGATGGTAAATTCTATTAAAATAAATGGTATCTGCATTTGTGGGATGATGGGACCGCACAGTCCACTGATTTGTTTCTTATGGCTTATTATTGTGCCAACGTACAAAAAATAATGTAGTCAAGGGACTGGTTAGCTGAGGAGGTTTGTAACAGCATGGGGAAATCAGCTCAAACACTACCCAGGTTGATACAGACCAAATGTTGTCACCATGGCCTATGTGGCCTATGTGAAATCATTCAGTGGTTCCAGTCCAGGGACCTCACAAACTCAACAGATATCTGGCAAAAGTTAGAAGCTCTGCAAGGCAACTAACTTGAGGATGGCATTTCCAAGCTTGCCAATTAAACTGGGAGGCCTATAACTTGAAAACAAACTGGTTATGCACCAGAATCTGAACAGATCTTACACAAAAGTCACTCGGCACAGAAGTTCATGCATATCACAAGTCAAGTCAATGGTAAAAAAAAAAAAAAAAAAAGAATAATTTGAGGGTGCTTTGTCTCTATAAAGATCCATCAAAAGAGATGGCTTTTCAGAGAAATAAAAACAATAAAACACAAATATATCATTATTTCAAGCAAAACCGTGTCTGAAGAAACATTCTGCATCTGATTTTCAGAAGTATTCCCAGTAACCTTGAGAAACCATTCCTCTATTTTAGTACTTAACAAGTGCTTAGGTGTTTAAAAGAAGACACAAGCATCTGAAAAGACCAGTCACAAGTTATTTATGATCTTAAAATGGACAGGAGGTTTGCTTCAAATCTAGTGTATTTCTAGGCTAGAGGCTTTATTTAGTTTCATTCAAAAAGCATTCTTACTCGTTTCCTTACTTATACTCTTCCATTAAGTTAGTTATTTTTAAATGACATTTATATTATCTTACTTGGTAAATTGTGCACCTCAATTTACTCCAGAGAAATCTTAATATATTGAGCGAGCTCTCAAGAGTAGCAAAAACTTCTCCTACTAGATATGCATAACATGCACAAAATAAAAGCACTGCTAGTTAGCATGTTAAATCCACTGAAAAAAAAATGATACAAGCACAGCAAGAATGTCAGATGCTTAGTAAAAACCAAATGATACAATTACTTGCAGAAGAAACAAGGCACTGGCTGGGTTGCAAGGTTTGTGGACACGGAGTCTTTAGTGAAGAACAGCAAGTTATATTACAGACAATGTGTGAGGACGTTTGATATTTTCAGTTTGTCAAAGCTAGTGGAGAGTAAAATGTACAATAGCATACATACTATCCTATAAATAATTATTGGTAGTTAGCAGAGAGAATAGTGTGTGAACAATAAAGCCATTTCTGAATATTTTCAAGTACATATACATGGCCTATATCTGAAGAAAACCCCTTGGAAGAGTAGTTTCTTAGCTATGTTACACCCTGGAATACAAAAAGAGCAACTATTCTTCTAACAGAAATGAAATTATGATACTAAATCTCTGAACCAATACAGTGTAACCCTCTATGAAGCCCATGGATCCACCACTGCAGCAGCGGTTTGGCAGGGGGTCTTGCTGGCAGCCATGGCGGGGAAGCACAGATGGGCCAACTAGGTAGTTCCTGCAGCCTTGGAGCGTTGTCTTTCTCACTACAAATATGAGCAAACTCCACATGTCACAATCCATTTGATACAAAGAGTAATAACAAAAAAAACACCCACTATATTTAAAAGCAAGACTAGTCTTCATCAGTATTACACACACACAGACTTTTGAATAGTATTAGGCAGAGGGAGTATGATGTAGAGATATCTCATTGGATCAAAAGCAAGACCAGGAACAAGAATCAGCTACAAGTGATATTCTACCTGGAAAGACTACCCAGTCATTATCTCGAGGATCAATTTTGGGATACCCAGGCTTATCTGCATTACCAAATTAGCACCTGAAACAGTGCGAACAAAGAGGTACAAGCAAATCCAGTACTATTTGTATCTTAAGAGTGATTAGACCGCT